ATTTTAAAAAATATTGACAGGTCATAATAGTTCTTGCACTATAGAAAAAACAACATCGGCTAGATAAAAAGAGCAGGCATTTTAAAACGATCATACAAACAAAAACATGTTGAATAACGAACGCAAATCAAACTTTCTGTATCATACCGGGAAATGGACAGGAAAATGTTCCATTTCCCTTAAGAACCTCAAATTCGGAAACGATATAAAAACAATTCTTTTTAAACTTGTAATAGGTTCTCGTATTTTGTTCAACAGAGAATCTTTTAAATTGTTTTTAATCGGTCAGGTTTATACTTTGTTTGGTCTCTCTAGATTTTTGTAATATTTTTATGTAAGACAGATATCATTTCAGTTTTCTCCCTCGGTTTCATCAGCCACTAAAAACGGCATGTTTATACCTCCAAAAATATAAAATACTCCGTAGTTGATAGTTCTGAGTAGCTAATGGTTACCTATTTTAATTTTTCAGTGATATGATTTGATTCACTGGTGGTCGATAAGTTTTGGAGGAGTTTGAAGGTGAGTACGATTTTTGATTCATTATTTATGTTATGTTCTGTTATAAAACATTTACATTTTACACCATTGGTTTTTTTATTCCGTTAATTAAACTGTTTTTAGGGATCTTCGTAGACCTCTATAGATCATGATACTTTCACATCAATGTCACGATTGCAAGTGAAATTTCAAACTGCCAGATTTGACTAACATTTAATATCCCTCTACTATATCAATAGATCATGCATCCAACGGGCGAAGAAAATATATTGAATTGATCAGTTTGAGAGCATTACTAGATCCTCATTACTAAATTCACATGGACAGTTATAGCAGCCAAAAGGGAGTATTAAAGATTAGGACTTGAAAGTAAATTTGGACCAACAAATAATCTTGTTCGGATACCGAAGGCGGCTTAAATCAAATTTTCCATCAGGGAATGATTATCAAACGGATAAAAACTATGTTTCGACTACAATATTGCATTCTCCGAGCCAGCCTCAACTGAAAGGTCTGTTGTATCGGACATATGGCAGATGAAATTTAGGAGCCTGATGAATTGAAACCTTTTCTTCCTATCTTATACAATTTTGTTTCAAATTTTTCCAAAACTCAACAGCTTGTCAGACGCGTGAACAGGAACACGAGATGTTTATGTTGATTCACGTTTATCTCGCGCTCGCGAAGAAGCATGTATCAAATCGATGAAAGATAGAATCAGGTTGAGTAAATTTGGAATCAGATTCAATCGGCAGAAAACTTCATAATAACTATATCGTGAAGTCTTGGTTTTTCCAAAATCGAGTTGATGACTATGAACTTTGTTTTGACCGTTTTCTTTCATTAAGGCCGATGTTTTCTCTTGCATTGTCACGCAATATAATTTCAGAACATGTCGAAGGAGTTGTCACCAATTGAACGCTTTACTTGTCACGTGGTTTCTCATGACCAAAATTAAACTGTCTGAACCTGTCTCTAATGAGCGTAAACCCGAGAAATATAATTAGTCAGTAAACAAAAACCGATGGAATCGATCAAAAAGTAAACAACAACAAAACAAGACAAGACAAATCTGAGACTACATGAAACAAGATTACAAATATTTATACTGATAATGGAGAAGAAAGCGACGAAAAAATTTAACTACTGTGGCTATAACAAGTTTGAGGGAAAGTGTTACTGTTATCAATTGAATAACTATAATGATAAAAGAACCAAGGAGCCGGAAGGAAGAAAATGCCAGTAAAATTTGGAGTTTTCTTCCATTCTACTCGATCGACAATCCATACACAGCGATATAACTAGGCTGACCGCTTTTTTCAGTAACGTTGACGATGGCGTCCTGAAACACCGGAGGTCACATATTTTCATTATTTTCATTATTACTTATTTATACAGAGCACAATCTTTTAACTGAGTCAAATTAAAAAGTAAAAAAGCACTTGAACTTAAAAAATCCCTTCAAGTTCTTGTTTCTCAATTATTTCTCAAATTTCTCACACAGGAGCCATCCTCCGACACACGCACGAGAAAAGTCGTAATGAAGAACATGAATAAAGTCATACACACCATCCATATAGGTGTTGTTGTTGCCGAGTTTCTTCTAAATACTAAAGGTTATCTACAAGCAATTGAGTTAAGCGAGGAATGTTTGCTTTTATTAAACAATTCGGAGGATTCAATCCCAATAATGTTTTATCTAAAAATCAATCATATAATGTTCAGAGCATATTTCCACACGTCTGATGACGAAAACGCAGAAAGATGCGCCAGGAAACTTCTTTCTGTGTTCCACGACTTTGGTGTAACCAAACTAGAAGGGATGTTTATGCTATTACTGGCAATCGTGAATAGCAGGCAAAGAAAGTTTAAAGAGGCGAAAGAACTTTTTGAGAGCGCAACAGGAATCTTGAAAGCAACTGGACAAAGAAAATTAGAGGCCACTGCTTATCGTCTAGCGGGAAGTCTTTTGCATTTACCTGACGAATATTGGAAGGCTGAAGAATACTATGAAAAAGCACTAGCCATCAGCATGGAAATTGGTGATAAGGAAAGACAAGCAACCAACTACGGAGACCTAGGAACTTTGTTACGCTCACGCGGTGAATATCAGAAGGCTAAAGAATATTGCGAGAAAGCACTTGCCATCAACATGGAAATTGGTGATAAGAAAGGAGAAGCAGCATGCATTGGAAACCTAGGAAATGTGTTAAGCTCACTCGGTGAAAATGAGAAGGCCAGAGAGTATTACGAGAAAGCACTTGCCATCAGCAAGGAAATTGGTGATAAGGAAGGAGAAGCAACATGCATTGGAAGCCTAGGAAATGTGTTTCGCCTACTCGGTGAATATCAGAAGGCCAGAGAATATCACGAGAAAGCACTTGCCATCAACATGGAAATTGGTGATAAGAAAGGAGAAGCAGGATGCATTGGAAATCTAGGAAATGTGTTAAGCTCACTCGGTGAATATCAGAAGGCCAAAGAATATTATGAGAAAGCACTTGCCATCCAAATGAAAATTGGTGATAAGGAAGAAGAAGCAGTAATCCACGGTAACCTAGGAACTGTGTTACACTCACTCGGTGAATATCAGAAGGCCAGAGAATATTACGAGAAAGCACTTGCCATCTGCATGGAAATTGGTGATAAGGAAAAACAAGCAGGATTCATCGGAGGCCTAGGAGGTGTGTTTTTCTCACTCGGTGAATATCAGAAGGCTAAAGAATATCACGAGAAAGCACTTGCCATCAGCAAGGAAATTGGTGATAAGAAAAGACAAGCAGTCAGCTACGGAAACCTAGGAGTTGGGTTATTCTCACTCGATAAATATCAGGAGGCTAAAGAATACTACGAGGAAGCACTTGCCATCAGCATGGAAATTGGTGATAAGAGCACCGAGGCAAAAATGTTCTTAAGCATAGGGAATCTGTTTCGAAGGCTCGATGAAGATCAGAAGGCTAAGGAGTACAACGAGAAAGCACTCGCCATCTCAGTAGTATCTGGCAGTAAATCAGAACAATTAGAATGTTTTGTGTGCCTTGGATATACTCATCTTGGGCTCAGAAAATATTTGAAAGCTAAAGAATATGGCGAGAAAGCACTTTCTATTGCCACAGAAATCGGGCACCAAGAATGTCAAGCACACGCATTACAGATCCTCGGCCATGTGTCTGATTACCTTAATGATCATGTGATGACCAAAAAATATTACGAGAAGCAACTTGCTATCGCCATTAAAATTGGCAACAGATCGCTGGCAGAAGTTAGCTACCGATACTTAGCAGGATTCTTCCTAAATAGTGGCAAATATGACAAAGCCGACGAATACCTTGAGAAAGCCCGCGTGATAACTTTTGATCTCGGAGAAATACCCAGTGAGGTTCACTACCTACTCTTGCTGTCGACCCTGAGGAAAGAGCAATCAAGGATCTCGGAAGCACTTTCGCATCTTTATCATTGTATTTCTAAATATGAAAAATTGCGAGATTTTCAACATGGAAATGAACAGTTTCAACAAGGTCTTTTAGAAACTCTCGGAGCCGAAGCTTACGAGTTGCTCAGTGAATTGCTATGTTCTACGGGAAATCTTCGAGATGCACTTTATGTCGAGGAGCTTCGACGGGCTAGATGCTTAACAGACTTGATGGCACGAAACTTATCCGTTGAAAATCACATCTCTGCTGATCCAAAGTCCTGGTCTGGGATGCAAGAGATTGTGAACAAAGAACGTAACTCTGTGTTCCTCTACATTTCGTATAGCGATCGAATGGTTTCTCTCTGGGTTTTGAAAGCAAATGGTGACGCCGTGTTTCGACAATCCGAAGAGGTCGACGACAAAACTCTTATGGCTGAGGATAGTTTTGATTTGAATAGTTATTTCAACAAAAGCATCCGCGGCTTTGGCGTTTTACCCACACAGAAGTGCGAGGATCAGTCTTTTAACGAAACCATGCCGATATTAAATGAAAGCCAAGCAGATTTGAGAGGCGATCAAGTCAAAGACACTGAAAAAATGCTTTCTGTATGTTCCAAACTGATCATCGCTCCAGTGGCCGAACTACTCACCGAGCCAGAAATCATCATTGTTCCCGAACGTAGCTTGTATCGGGTCCCATTTGCAGCCTTACGCGACCAACCAGACGGAAAGTATTTATCAGAGACCTTCAAGCTCCGCATCGTCCCTTCTTTATTGACTTTAAGGCTCATTCAGGACTGCCCAGTGGATTATCACAGTCAGACTGGTGTACTGGTTGTGGGAAATCCCAAGGTGGGCAGTGCACATTACAGAGGAAAAACCCATGACTTCAGACCACTGGCCTGTGCGGAAAAGGAAGCAAAGATGATCGGGCAACTGCTGGGTGTTCAGCCATTGTTAGGAGAGCGTGCGACAAGAGAGGCGGTACTTCAAGAAATTAGTTCAGTGAGTCTGATTCATATTGCTGCTCATGGTAATGCCGACAGAGGCGAGATTGCCCTTTCCCCNGGAAATCTTCGAGATGCGCTTTATGTCGAGGAGCTTCGACGGGCTAGATGCTTAACAGACTTGATGGCACGAAACTTATCCGTTGAAAATCACATCTCTGCTGATCCAAAGTCCTGGTCTGGGATGCAAGAGATTGTGAACAAAGAACGTAACTCTGTGTTCCTCTACATTTCGTATAGCGATCGAATGGTTTCTCTCTGGGTTTTGAAAGCAAATGGTGACGCCGTGTTTCGACAATCCGAAGAGGTCGACGACAAAACTCTTATGGCTGAGGATAGTTTTGATTTGAATAGTTATTTCAACAAAAGCATCCGCGGCTTTGGCGTTTTACCCACACAGAAGTGCGAGGATCAGTCTTTTAACGAAACCATGCCGATATTAAATGAAAGCGAAGCAGATTTGAGAGGCGATCAAGCCAAAGACACTGAAACAATGCTTTTTGCATGTTCCAAACTGATCATCGCTCCAGTGGCCGAACTACTCACCGAGCCAGAAATCATCATTGTTCCCGAACGTAGCTTGTACCGAGTCCCATTTGCAGCCTTACGCGACCAACCAGGCGGAAAGTCTTTATCAGAGACCTTTAGGCTCCGCATCGTCCCTTCTTTGTCGACTTTAAGGCTCTTTCAGGACTGCCCAGCGGACTACCTCAATCAGACTGGCGCAATGGTTGTGGGAAATCCCAAGGTGGGCAGGGCGCGTTACAGGGGAGAAATCCATCACTTTAAACCACTGGCCTGTGCGGAAAAGGAAGCAGAGATGATCGGTCAACTGCTGGGTGTTCAGCCATTGTTAGGAGAGCGTGCGACAAGAGAGGCGGTACTTCAAGAAATTAGTTCAGTGAGTCTGATTCATATTGCTGCACATGGTAATGCCGACAGAGGCGAGATTGCCCTTTCCCCTAGCCCTGTTACAAGTAATATCCCAGAAGAAGAAGACTACCTTTTAAGGATCTCTGATATTTCACAAGTTAAACTAAGAGCCAAGCTTGTAGTGCTCAGCTGCTGTCACAGTGGGCGTGGAGAGATCAAAGTCGAGGGAGTCATTGGAATCGCTCGCGCGTTTTTGGCATCCGGTGCACGTTCAGTGCTGGTGACACTGTGGGCCATAGAGGACGAAGCAACTGAGCAGTTCATGAGACGTTTCTACAGACAGCTAGTGGACGGATTTAGTGCCAGTGAATGTCTTCGCCAGGCCATGAAGTGGCTGAGGAATATCGGCTATACCAAAGTTTCCCAGTGGGCTCCGTTCATGCTGATTGGAGACAACGTGACATTTAACTTTAAGGAAGAAAGGTTAGTTGTATTCCCAAGTAATACCACCAGCATTTCACCACCTACAGAAGGCGGTTCAAGCTAAGATGACCAGAACTTGTGTGTAGGCGTGTACGCTTTGATTATTGAAATGTTAAAAAATCTTTTTACTCTTGTGTAGATGACGGAAGCGAAATAGATTGACTCGAGAGTGCCAAATAACGTTTATGGAAATAGAGTTGAGACATGGGACGTGAACGTTTTAACACTATCAGAATGAACATTTAAAACTTTCGTCCGAAGATGACGGTTTGGTAATGATTTTGGCTAACTAATTTTTGATCTATTTACTTCTTATTCATTATAGATCTACAGATTTTTTTTGTTTTGTTTATTTTATGCCTGTTTCTTTTTGTTGGTTTAGGAAGGACGAATTGGAAAAGGAAGGAAGAATGAAGCCTAAAGGGAACATTTAGCAGAGCTTTTGGTTAATTCTTTTGCTGATCATGAACGGTTTAACATTTGTATATAACGTACGATTAGTCTCTAAAATTGAATTTCAAGAGGAATTAGAATTTTTCTTCTCATAAAATGCTTCTCCCAAGACAGTAGTTAAGCAGTTAGCCTGCAGTGGTTACATAATCTGACTTATGTACTTAAGTGATTGATATTTTTTCTATTTTTTTTTGACGAAAACTAAGATGCATTTTTATCAAGCTGCTGCCTCTTGAACTTCACTTGGTATAAATGAAGAAAAAAAATTCTTCATGGGACATTTGCAAATAAGTCTAGCCGAGGGCTCGTCCGGAAAAGACCTAGCAAATTGAATTTAATCTTAAATTTTTTTTAATCGGAGTCATAATTGCATTTTTTTCTTCAAGTTGGCAAGGTTTGAGCTATTTGAAATACCTTTGGTAAAAGTGAGAAAAAAATTATTGAAGAATTTATCAGTTAATGTTAAAAAAATGGACCCATTATGTCCAACAGGCTCGTAAAAAAATCGAGAACAGACGAAAAAGTTGAATATTTTCAACTAAGTTTAACTAGGGTCATAATGTAAGAAACAGATATGATTGATATTTACAAGGAGTTATTCTGCATTTTAGCTGATCGAGTGGATCATCTCTTTTTAATTATGCATAATTATTATCGATGAGACGTTTGAAGTGATCAATTTTCTTCCGTAAATTAAAGCAGGATTTCAGTAAACTTATACCTCTCTCTTCTTTGCTTTCGTAGATATTCGATTAGCTTTCCTTCACTACCTAAACAAACTTATATTGGTCTCCAGTACAATTCTCCAAGCAATCAGTGTAACCATGGAAACGAAAGCCGTTACTGTTCCAATGTAAAATCGTTTTCTACTGACTCAGAATAAGAACGAGCTCTGCCAATTGATAAAAACTTTGAATCATTAGCAGCTGGCTAATTTAGCACGATCAAATAGATGAGGTCGATCAAGTTGAGAGAAGTACCAATTTTTTGTCAAATGAAACCAGTGATTTCTACGTCAATCACAGGGCACAATCAAAAAAGTCATTACACATCCCAGAATGCTTTTCACCCTTGAAGAAAAGTTTTTCCTATTGTCTCTTCCATAAACAGGAAAATCAATCGTTGATCGAAAAGAAAAAAAAACCCGTTGCATACTACCGTAAATAAGTAATGAAAAAAAGAAGCGAGAGTCAGTTACAAAACTGCGTTCGTCCTCCTTGAAAAACTAAGTTGCTAAGCGATAATTTTGATTGCATAAATAAGCTCTTAACGTTGTACAAAAAACAAAAAAAAAACGAAACAAACCAAAACGCACTCACAAAAAAAAGAAAAACGGAAAAGGATAAGAAAGAGCTGAGAGTATATTGGATCTTTACATCGCACTTCGAGTTAACGCACCAAGCTTAATCAAAAGTTCTGCCGGTGAGGTATTTTCAGCCCTATTTAAGCCAGCTTACCGATTCTTACACTCGTACTTTCAGAGGGATAAACGCTAATTTCACTTACTGTTTCCTTCAACCATTTTAAACGGATAAAATGGGTTACACTGAAGCCTCCTGTGAAATATGGCTTCTGGCTTCTCAAGGATTTCAAGCGCTTTCAGCGCCTTTTTTAAACCCATCGTTGCTGTTGTCGTTTAGAGTATTTCACCTCCTCCCAACTCGCTACAATAACCTCATACGAGCTTTGTGACGTCAGTTCTCGCGCGCATTAGTAACAAAGCTACTCCTGACGGAAAACGTTGTCTTTCGCGTTGCATTCCGGGTTTAATCTTTTCAAAACGTTTTAAACTGAAAGTGCGCAAATGAGCTGCTGGTAGTCTGTGCAGTCCCTCTTGGAATGGAGGGAGCTTCAGTGGAGAGAAGAGATTAGGCACGACCTAGACAGAGTTTGAATTCCTTTCCTCTTCTTTCGGTCTTTGAAACCCTTGACTCCCCTTTTTACTGTGGACAAATTATTTTTGCCTTTTTACCGTGGCACTGTTTTAAGAACCATACGATAAGCAACTTGAATAAGAGTTCATTCTCGTCACCTGCCGTAACCATCACCGTCTCTATTTTACGAGATATCAATGTAGCAAACGAGTGAAAGCTTTAAAACAGTGCCCAAGATAATAAACATAACAATTAATTGCCACCGGAAGCTAAAAGTACGCTAAATACAGTGGTTACCGAAGCCTTTCTGTCATTCGAAAGCCATACAACCATGTGTATTGATCTAAAAAAACTCATCGAAGTCCAGTTTGCGTGAAAATTTTAAAATTCTTTTAGATTAAAAAGAGAAATAGTTTATTGCGATGGTTTCGGTGGGCTATTAAAAGTACAAAAAGAAAACACAAAACACGCCCATCGTTTGTAAATCACTTGTTTTATTTACCTTACTCGTATGTTGCGAAATTTAAAGTCAGTAATCGTCTTAAGCATTATTTGGGGTGGAGGATAGGAATTGGATTTTTTATGTCCAGTCATCTTGGTAAGTGATTGCAATTGCTTAGTTTGATGCTCTTGTTTAAATTAGTTAAAATTTTTAATTTTACCCATCGTGTTCGCGAAGCTCAATCCCTTCTTCAGTTACTCTTTAATTAGTAATACTAAATAAAAGCACGGATATACCGTACGGTAATTTCTCGAATTAGCGCCCTGACGTGTATTCAAACTTTCGGCTTAATAGAGAAGGCGTTTCTGAATTAGCGCAGTAATAAGACAAAAATTAAAATAAAGGAACTCTGCAAGCCATGAAGCCAGAAATAACTGGAACGGAAAAGAAACTACTCTCCTGCACTGATTCCACTTTTGCTTCTTTGAAAGGGGGGAGGGGGGGGAGGGGGAGGGCGCTTGTTCGAGGTAATGTGGTAAATTCCTTTCCTGCATTACACAAAAACGAGTGTACAGCCACTAAGTCATTCCCCGACAGATGTCATTTTCCCGTGATCGATAAAAACAGTTATTCACCCAAGGCGGATAATAAAGGAAATTAAAGCAAAGATATCAGTGACGTCACCTATGGTTATTAATATGCCAACAAGAGAACTATTGGCTAGTGAAAAAAAGAGTTCTTTCGTTTAAGGTTTTGAACATTTCAATAACAAATATCTTCTCTATTGTAGCCTTATTACAGGTTACATCTCTCACACTCATCGTTTCTTGAATAATCAACGTATTGTCGATAGGACCGGTTGAGGAATGCAATCTTATCCATCACGCCTTGAGTTATTCTATCCGTCTGCTCTTCATCCTACCATTTTCACTCAAAGCGAGACAACCGTTGTAGCCATCTTCCCCGACTGTCACACACTCCAATTGCACAAAGTTGATACCATAGGCTGACTATAGACCCGTAGCTTTGGCACAACCTGCCGGCACAACAACACAGAAACCTTTAAAATGCTTGTTCACCAGAATTTGCAATCGATCTCTGATCGTTTAAAAAGCTAATTTTTCACTATTTAACCGAATGTCTGGCCAAGATTAGCCTATAAGCACTGCTCCTATCAAATCTCACTACTATGGGAATCAACTGCGCCGCATATTCCCCTCCCCCGTCACTCTTCAGGTAAAAGGGTTAGGCCTTGAAATCAAGCGATGATTTTTTTCACCTAAAAATGTCAACAAAATATAAATAATTGTTAATCTCATACCACTTTGTCCTTCTCTGTCCTCTAGAAGTTGTTCATATTCTTCTTTTGTCAAGAGTCCATCAAGAATATTCTCAGTAAGTTTTGGAAGGACTACAGCAAGGTAGCCTTCAGTTTCTGGCTAAAAGCCAAAATAAGAAAAAATTGAAGCAGAACAAATT